CCTGGTCCCTAAAATGAAATACCCTCCATCCTGGACCAAGGGTAAAGTTTATAACCCAGCATCTGGCAAATTGAGTGCTCAATAAACCTTGAGAAATGAACACCATTCATTCATAGACGGGACAAGTAGGTGGGTAGATGGACATGTGGATGATGAACGGATACATAGAGAGGCCGAATAGATAGATGGATAGATTGATAGACTCTATAGAGAGATAACTAGTTACTCTAGGTGGATATAATGGATGGATAGATGGGTGTGTACAGTATGTTTCTATTCTCTTTGTTGTGTGGGAACATGCCCACACATGCATGCCACTGCATGCCACAGTGCTGGTGCAGCAGCCAGAGAACTTTCCAGCCACTTCTCTTCTCCCATTGTGGGTTTTGAGGGTTAAACTCAGGGCACCAGGTTTGCATAGTCAGGTGGTCCCCAGCCTTGACCTGACGAGGCAGCTCTGATTGTAGTACTATTATTGCTCCCACTCCTGACCCCTGCAAACATCACTTGCTGGGGCCCTCATGTGTGTCTTCATGGGACCTTCTCAATAAGACTAGGGAGCTAGGAACTCCACAGAGAAACCGAGTCACTGAGAAGTTCCTGTCCAGTTCTTCAATCCTCTTTTACTTCATCTGTGTGTCTTCTGCCTGTGTGTATGTATGTGCACCACACGTGTGCCCAAAGCTTGCAGGAATCAGAAGAGGGAGTCAGATTCCCTAGATTTAGAATAAGTAGCTGTGAGCTACCATGTGCATGTTGGGAATTAAACCTGGGTCCTCTGCAAGATCAGAAAAACTCTTAACTGCTGGCCCAAATCTCTAATCTCCTGTCCAGCTTCCTAGTTCATACGTGTCCCACGGCCTGTGCTGGGTTTCTCTCCTTGGGACCTCCTATAATCCTCCAGATAGCAGGTAACCGATACCACGTCCGGGCCATGCCTGTCATCTTCATACACCGAGGGCTTGTTACATCCGCTCCCGTCTCCTGGGGGCGAGGTCATGAGGGCAGGGTGTTGGGAAAGGCAGAGTGAGAAGCCTAGCTGCATGGCGGCAGGAACTGCAGGAGGAGGCAGCCTGTGCGTCCCCTCCCAGCTGTCATCGCCACCTGTCCCCATGCGCCAGCCCTGGCACCTCACAGTCCCATAGTCACTGAGAATGCCCTGTCCCTTTGCTAAGGCACTGAAGGAGGACTCAGGCCTCACACCCAGGGTGGACGGGGTAGCCAGGAACATGGGCTCCTGAGTAAGTCCAACCATGAAAAGCAGGAAGACTCCACGAGGGCATGTCTCGGGACTCTCCCCTTGGCCTTTGGACTTAGGCACAAGGCAGAAGTGGGGTTCTTCTTGCATGGAGCTAGGCTGCCCACGGCAGGCTCCTTTGCTGCAGAGGCCTCTTGAGGCTAGAAACCTGAGGAGGTAGAGAGACTCAGGCCAGACTCTCGGAATAGAAGCATCTAGAGGCAGAATGTCCTGCTTCCCAGTGGAACCAAGGCCTGCGAGGGGGCTCAGAGCCAGTCTATGGCGCTCAGGAGAAAATTCTAGGCCCCATCTCAGTCACACCTCACCTCTATACAGCTAGAGTGGGGAAACTGAGGCAGAGCCTGCTCTCCAGCTTTAGAGGCTTGTTCTCCCCACCAACCAACCAATCCTTGATTGTTATTTACCTCACTTTACACAGACATGGGGGTTCCAGATCCTCACGTCTCGGGCCCCCTTACAACCCAGGATATGTTGTTTGCCTTGCTTTCCCGGCTTGGCTCTGAAGAGCTGGAGTCAAGCAATTTCAGAAGGTCGGCCTGGAAGGGGGACTAGTGGTTAAGCAGCTGAGCATGCCTGCCCCCGCCCCAGGACTCTCCTGACCAGCAGTCCCCCACCCCCTCACTGGAGTTTGAGGGCTCAGGCCCCTGTGTGAGCTGCTGAAGAGACTAGGGAGCCACTGCTGTTGATAGCGCTGGTGCCAGGCCCATGACGCAGGCCTGAGGCCCAGGCACACAATGGGGCTGTGTGTGCACCCAGCATTACTCTGGAGTAGAGCTGGGCAGGCCAGCATCTGGGTTCAAGCCAAGAATTCATTTCCCTGGAGAGAGCCTCCCACCCGTCCCAGGCAGCAGGGCTGGAGCAGGGGCTGCAGGGATAAGCAAGTACTTCCTACCCTCAGTTCAGGGAGAAGAAGGGACAGGCCAGGGGCGGGCACTAGGAACAGGGATTCCTGAGTCTACCCGCTGGCTGCCTGCTCCCCTGTGAGGGATTTTGGACCTCTTACATAATGAAACAGGGTATTCCTGAGGTTGCAGCCTCTCCAGTACTACTCAGAGAGATGGTAGAGGGACAAGAGAGTAGCCTGGTCCCATCTGTAGGACCTTACTGCTACTTCTACACTTGCTCAGGTGTGGACTCCATCTGTACAAGTTTCTGAGACACCCAGGACTTCTGGACACCCAGCCTGTACAAATACCCTTAGGGTGCCCCGGGAGAGTTACTGGCACCCTCCCTGGGGGAATGAGTCACCAGCTGGCTGCATCCAGGGTGTCAAGCAGGCATTGGGCAGGTTCAGCTGCCTGCTCCCCTCCCTGGCAGGTCTCAAGCTGGAAAACCACTCAGCTGTTATCAGGTGTTGACCACAGTGTCCCAGACTGGAACTGGACAGGCACTTCCCTCGGGAGCAGGGGTTGCCTGGTGCCTGGATTCTGGGGCTCGATGCCTCCTGGTCCCCATATTATCTCCTTTAGCCACAGGCTGAAGCACTAAGGACATTGGACCGCAGGAAAAGGCAGCCATTTCCCCCAGGAACAAGCAAGGTTTGAGCAGGCAGGAGAGAGAACAGAGCACCTGAAGGCCCGGGGAAGCACCTGGTGCCAGGAGCTCACCACCCTTGCTCCCTCTGGGGCTCTACAACAGGTTTCACACACTCCTTCACACAAATGTGGGGCCCCAAAGGCTTCTGCCCACACTCCTCAAAGGTCACACACAAATGTCACAGTGACAACCTTTGTCCATCAGACACAGATGGATGGCCACTCATCTTCTGATGGCCAAAGACCTCCATGTCCCTAATCAAGTGACAACAGGTTACAGGTGTCCCATCAGCCTCACACAGTACTGTCTTTGTGTGTGTGTGTGTGTGTGTGTGTGTGTGTGTGTGCATTTGCACCACACCATCTTTACCCTGAGAGATCGCTCCTGTGCCCTGAGCTCAGAGACAATGAGGTCAGTGGGACCTTGTGGAGACGGACCCTTTCCTCTCACAGGTGAGCAGATGGCTGGGAGGAGCCTACATTCAAGGTCATGATGGAGCCTGCCACCCAGGGCTGGGCTAGCACAAGGTTAATTTGACAGAGCAGGAGACAGGGACTCGGAAAGGGGCAGGAAGAGGAAGGTGGAAAGAGAGTTCACTGTGCCATTCCCACTTTCTGGGCTGTCATGCTGGGGCCATTTCACAGCTTTCTGTGCAGGGTCTGGGGGCCTCTCCAACCAGGGTCATTCCACCTGTAAGAGCTGTCTCAGAATAACCACTGTCTTCAAGGTTGCCCCGTGTGGAAGAACAGAAGCAGCTCATCTGTGTCCCACACTGAGGGACACTCAGCACCAAAGGGTCCATGCCATCAGTACCCTCTGGAGTCATAAATGAGGGGCAGAGGACAGCGACGTAGGCAGTCACCTACTTGAGAGCCCCAGGCGCACTGAAGCTGCAGAGCCTCATTTCCAGACACAGGACATATGGAGCCCTTAGACTAAAGCAATGGGCAGGGAGAAGGGAGGGTCACCTCTACCCGATAGTCAGGAGGGACCTCCATGTTCTCAAGACCATAGCTTTGGAAAGTATGGGGGTGCATGATCAAGACACCATGTATGAAATTCCCAAGGAACAATATATATACTATAAGAAATGAATCACTACTGGTTTGTTTATTTTAAGGATTGGTTTGTTTATTTTCTCTGGCTCCTCATCTGGCCAGAGGAAACAGATGAGGCGTGTGTGTCACGGAGTCCATAGGGGACAAGGCCCCTGGCTCCAAATGCCAGCATCTTTTCCACAGCTCCAAAGCTGCCAGAGCCATCTCCCTGACAGCCCCGGCTTCAGCCCCATGCACACCCATGCGTGTGACCAGGCAGTACAGCCTGCATCGTGCATGTGCAATAATGTGGGGAATACGCCCAGATTCCAAGCCACCTTTGTGCTCTTAACCCCTCAGGGCTGCTGCTGTGCCAAAGCCACCACTGTCACTAAGGCTGGTATAGCCCATCCCAGGAGTCACCCGATGTGGAGGGAAGCTGAGAGATCCTCCCTCTCAGCCCCTCAGTATCATCCACATCTCCCTGTCATTACCTCAGACCTCCTCCTTGACCGTCCCATTTCTGAGTCCCCTGTCTGCAGGGGGTCAAAGGCCAACTGGACCTACTGATGGCTACTGAGAGAAGTCTATGCGCTGACCTTCAGCCTCCGCCCCCACCCACAGCACTGGGGCAGGATAAAATGACAAGAGAAAGCAACACCGGAGCACAAACATGACACCCGCCACACACCCAGCTTCTAGTGGTGACAGGGGGTGATATAGGAGGCCGCCCCGGCTCTCCGCTAGCCCCCAGAGCCATCCACAAGGGTCGCCGTGCACCACATGCTGGCAACACTTGGAACCAGAACTAAAAATAGACTCCGTAATGAGTCACAGCTAAGAACAAGCAGGCAAACAGCCTCCGGGAAAGAACTCTGCCAGAGAAGCACCACCTCCTGCCCTTACCAGCCCGTCTCTGGGCCCCACGTTGCCCACAGAAGAGCCCTGTCTCTGCACCTGCACAGCCAGGCAAGGTGTGTGCCTACACACCCACAGCACGGGGCATCTCCAGCGCCCTGCGCGAGAGGTAGAGAAAACAGGCATGAGAGCTTTACATATGCCCAGTGCACAGGTAAACTGAGGCACTGAGGCACGTTTCTCTCCTTAACACCAGTTCTCAGCAGGGCATGAAGAAGACAGCCATGCCCCTGGCTGGTTCCTCTGCTTACCTGTGCAATGAGTCTCCAGAGCCAGCCAGACTGGCTCTTCCCAGAGGTCATCAGTGGGCAGAGACCAGAGAGGGCAGCAGTATCACTCAGGACCGATATCACACAGCAGGCGAATGCAGAGGAGTCTTAGCCAATTGGACCCCATGGCTGGGGTCTCCTCCAGAAATCACAGGCTCGTTTCATTTGTGCACGTCTGTAGCTGGAATCCGGGGACTTGGCGATACACACATTCTACCACAGGAACCTCCTCTCCACAGCAGTGCGGCAAGATAGGGTGAGGGCTTTATTTCAGAGGGGAGCCCCGGCCCCGGAGAACAGAAGGGCAAGACAAAGCCATAGCGCCATGCACCAGCCTTTGAAGTGTCTCCCAGGAACCACATGTTAGGCACACAAGACATTCTCATGCTGGGGCCTAAGGATGGGGGCTGGAAAAAGGGGGTCAGAGCTCTTGGTGCACAAGCCAGTCCAGGAAGAGGACAGAAGAAGAGGGATGGGGTCCCAGGCCAGTGTTGGTCATCAAGTCGGAGCACCTGGTCCAGCCTTAGGGCTGTCACAGCCTCATTCCAGGCCCATCAGGACTTCAATGCCATGAGGCACAACAGAGAGACAGAAGGAGGATTGGAAGGGCTGGAGGATGACTCAGCAGGTAACCATCCTACAAAAGCAGAAGGTCCTGAGTTCAAATCCCCAGGGAAGGAAAACATACAAAAAGCCAGGTGTGGATGTCTGTAACCCAGTACTGTGTAGGGAGCAGGGCACAGGCTTGCTGGACCTGTCTAGACCTAGGCTCAGTTAGATGGCCTGTCTCAAGGGTACACACACACCACATACATGTTCATACATATACACATGCAAAATTAATTTTAAACAAATATTAGTCCACCAAAGGCTCTAACAAGTCCAGCAAAGAACTGGCCCCACTTTGTATACTATGTAAGCACTCCACCACTAAGCTGCACCCCAGTCCTCATCTTTTGCCTTTTTGTTTCTTTGTTTTTTTCAAGACAGGTTTTCTTGTCAGGTGGTAGTGGTACACACCTTCAATCCTAGCACTTGGGAAGCAGAGGCAGGAAGATCTATGTGAGTTCAAGGCCAGCCTGCTCTACAAAGCTAGTACCAGGGCAGGCTCCAAAGCTACACAGAGAAACCCTGTCTCGAAAAACAAAACAAAAAGACAGGGTTTCTCTGTGTAGCCCTGACTGTCCTAGAACTTGCTTTATAGACCACGATGGCCCTAAACCCAGAGATCCACCATCTCTGCCTCCCCAGCACTGAACTGAAAACATGCACCACTATGCCCAGCTCTCTCATTGTGCTGTATAGGGGCTGGAGAGATGGCTCAGCAGTTGAGAGCATTGTCTGCTCTTGCAGACGACCTGGGTTTGGTCACAAGCACTGGTGACTAAAGCTCCAGGGGACCTGATGCCCTCCTCAGGCCTCTGTGGGCACCATGAATGCATGTGGCGCACAGGTACATTGCAAGCACTCAACATACATATAAAAAAAGATAAATAACTGGCATACATATTTATAGATACAATTGGTATTATGATATAGTCACACAATGTAGAATAATTAAACCAAGCTAATTAACATGTCTGACATCTCAAATACTTATTGATGGCGGTGATAACATTTAAAAATTTGATCTTGACATTTTGAAAATATAAGACATCATAGGTCACTGAACTGCTGTCCTGTGCGGGGTAACATTTTCTTGTTATATTGAGATTCTGCCCCCTATGAGGGCACTTCCCATCTTCCATCACCCATATTGCACTTTGCAAATTCCACCTTCCATACCTGCTTGGCCACCAAAGCCACTGACAGAAACTGTCCTGGAAAACCGCCTGGAAGATTTGGGCTTATTAATTGGAGGACCTTGTAGAAAGGTCAGCAGGAGCCACAAGAATTTGAAGTGAACCCAAACCAAGAGCAGTCACCATTACTGGAAAGTTCTAGCAGCCCTGTGGGCTCTAGCAGGCTAGCTCTTCTGCCACAGAGACCTCCTTCTTAGCCACTTGGGGACTTTGATTCCCCACCTAGAGGGGCAAGGACCGGATTGGTTGTGTGACAGAGTCCAGAACCCACATGAACAGAGAACTTTGCAGCCCTTAGTTCACAGTCAAGCAGCAGGTTCTCAAACATGGACAGCTTTTCATCAAACACCACACTGCCATGGGACTCACGCCCAAGTCTCTGGGCCCGGCGCTCAGCAGACAGAAAACTGTCCACAGCTTTCTGGAAACTGGAGGCTACTTTGGCCACCAACCCTCCCTGGCAACATAAACCTCAAGCTGGGGCCCCTTGGAAGCTCAATGAAGGGAGTACTCCAGAGGTTGGGGGTTGCCAGACCTGGTCTCACCCCCTAGGACCTTAGCAAACCTCCTCCACTCAAAGCCAGGGATAGCCGGGCCTGACATGACCAGGGTTCTCCCCACAGCTCCTCCTACCGCCCTCGGTCACAGGGTGGGGAGGAAGGGGGATTCTCCAGACAGGCAGCTGATGTCCTCATGATCTTCCTCAGCCATCCCAGCCTGAGAGACCTCAAGAGTAACCCACTCGGAGCTCCCACACTTCCTGCCACCCGTTTATCAGTGCTGAGTCACGAGATGGGCAGGGGCATTGCCCTAGCAGGCTGTCAGTGGGTTAGGACGCCCACTCTACAGACGAGACACTGAGGCCCAGAATGGGCCAAGTACTCGCCAAGGCTAGGCTTTAAAGCTTTGGGTTCCTGGAGGCTTTGGGTTCCTGGAGCAGGTCACAGACTAGGCTCACTGGAGCCGGCTGGGGCTGCAAAGGCAAGACAAAGTTCAGGAGGTTACAGAGGCACAGCAAAAGGGAAAAAGGCGAAACCCTCTGCTTCTCCCCAGTTACTGCAAGCAGGGGGTGGGACATTGCAGCCACGACTGCTCAACACTACCCCACCATCTGGGGGTGACAGAAACAGCCCCTCCTGATGTCCCCGGACGATGCCCACCTAGCCTGCAACCTCCACCAATAAGGACAGCCTCTCTAGAGGCTGTCTAACCCCTAGACCACGCAACCAACCATGCTAGGAACTGTCTCCTCTCCCCACCCCTGCCCCTCTGCTTGTGTTTGTGAAGAACTGGGCTCTGAAACCTGAGCCCCAAGCCATCTCTGGGTTTTAAGGATGGCTACCTCAGCCCAGTTAGGTGCTGGGCCTCATAATCAATAGGTTCTACACCCGCCCTGCACAGCTCTCCTCCTCTCGGAGTCTCTAAGGCAACAGCCCTGGAGTTTTTAACCATGACTCACAGAAAGATGTATTTCATTTGACCTTGGAGGCGCACATACAAAACCAAGTGCTTTCCAAAACATAAGTTCCTGATCTACTGGCACTGTGCAACACACTCAAATAGTTCTGCTCTATCGTGTGTGTGTGTATGATTCGTGTGCACATACATGTGCCAGAAGAGAACACCAGGTTCCTGCTCTGTTACCCTCCCCTCATTCTTGTGAGACAGGGTCTCTCGCCGAAACTGAAGTTCTCTGTTACAGCAAGGCTGGTTGACGAGCAAGCTCTTGGAATCCCCGTCTCTGACTCCCAACACTGGAGTTACAGGCATGCGTGGCCATTCCTGGCTTTTATGTGGGATTCAAACACATGTCTTTATGCTTCTCTATGTAACCCTGGTTGTCCTGTAACTCGTTCTGTAGACCAGGCTGACCTCAAACTCAAAGAGATCCGCCTACTTCTGCCTCCTGAATGCTGGGATTAAAGGCGTGCACCACCACCCGCCTTCCACAGCCCTTTTCTACTATTCCTTTTTAGTTTTTAAAAATGTTCATGGAGGGCTGGAGGGATGGCTCTGTGGTCAGGAGTACTTCCTGCTCTTCAAAAGGACCTGAGTTTGGTTCTCAGCACCTACATCAGGTGGCTCACAACCATCCGAGACCTTAGCCCCAGGAAGGATGGAACGCCCTCTTCTGGTCTCTACACGTACCTGCATGCATGTGGTATACACTCACACAGAAACATACATAATCTTTTTCTTAGCAACAGCAAAAACTGTTCATGGAGTCCATAGCACTGATTTCATGAGTTAATTAGTGACCTGGTCCATAGTTCAAAAGAGCCCTCCCTCCACGTCTAATTAGCTACAACTCCATGTCTAGCAGGTAGCCCGCTACCCTTGTTGCTATGCTACCTGACCTCATCCTTCCCTTCTCTGTAACAAGTAGGAACTGTTGGGTCCTCACGGTACGAAGAAACCGAGGCTCAAGGCCACACCGTAAATAACTCAGGGAGAACCAACCCAGGCCTTCCAGAATGTACAGCCAGGTATATATCACACCGCTCTCCATCGAAGATAATCAATCACCTTGGCAGGTAGATCTCTGTGAATCTGAGTCCAGCCTGATCTACAGAGCAAGTTCCACGACAAGCTCCAAAGCTACAGAGACACTATGCCTCAAAAACACAACAAACAAACAAACAAGCAAAAAGATAATCCCCTTGATGGTTGGGATGGTAGAGCATTGGCAAGGCCTGATGTAGACCCCCAGAATACCCGCTGGACAGTGTTCTGCCACATGCACAGACACATTGGCTGGGGGGAAACACGCTAACAGGTGCCAGGCTCTGCGTCTGAGATCTTTTGTCTTTAATGCCCGTGATGAGCACGTGAGATGGGGGCTACACCTGTCACCTCCATCTTAGACATGCACACAGGGGCACTGTGAGCAAGCTACCTGCCAGGATCACCCAGATGGACGGCTGCAGGGCCAGGGTCCAAACCCAACAGAAACGGGACCGCCCTCCACTAACACATCCTATCTATGTGACCTATAAACTAGGACCTAGACACAAGTCTAGGGAAGTGAGCAGCCGCACGCCAACTGGGGCTGGCGCCTAATTCCCCGTGATTCCCACCACGCTCTGGGCACAATCCCCCTTAACTGGACCTTCTCCTTCTCCCCTTCTGCCCTCGGTCCAGCCCAGCCCAGTAGGCTGAGGCAGAGGATGAAGAGGCTGGTCCCATTACATGGTCTGACAACCTCTCAGTAAAAGACAGCCCTGAATCAGAGCGGCCAAAGGGGGTTTTCCTCTCTGAAATGTCACACACATGCACACACGCTTGCGCAGACCTGGGAGAGGGTGCCCCTTGGAAGGAGGCCCCTGGGGTGCTCAGCTCCACTCCCCCACTCAAGCCCCAGTCATTTCCTCATTTTCCCCAGTGCTGTTTCTCACCCAGCCCCCTGCACCTCGGCGAGAGGAAGTTGCGCAATCCCCTGGGAGCTGCAACTGTGGCCAGGGATTACTCACAGCACAGAGGGAAGCTCCAGCCGGAAGCCTCTTCCCCTCCCCAGGCAGGCTGGCTCCAACCTCCCCAACCCCAACCCCGGGTTCCAGTCCTAGACAGAGCCTTTCTCGGTCACCAATTCAGCTTCAGGGCACCCTGAGAGAGACGCAGAGGGACAATGGCCAACACAAACGTCCCAGAGAATGACAAAGTTCTCCTGCACCTTCCCGGCTAGCCACACGCCTGTGGCCTTGGTCTCTTATATTGCCCCTCTAGAAATGAGACCCAAACGTCACCAGGCTCTGGGCGGACAGGAGCCAAAGCACTCAGCCTGGTGGGAAAGCCATTCTGTGCACAGGTGACTTCTGTGGCTCCTAGGCCTCTCCTCTGACAGACGGTGACGGAGTGGCAGTGAGACCCCGTGCCCACAGGTAGGTATTTGTCTGGAAGAGCAGGCAGTAATCAAGCCACTTGTACCCCAGAATGGAAGAGTTCACATTTCCGAGGTGTCGTGGGGAAAGCGGACTCCTGGAGAAGGCAGAGGCCAGTGAGATGAGGGGAGCCCAGAGCAGAAGGATGATGGTGACTCTGACTTGCCCTGGGCTAGCAAAGAGGAAGGAATGTGAACGG